ATTATTGATGGCCATGAGAGCCACAAGTCGCTTGCCTTCCAGGATCTGTGTGAGGAGAACAAAATTATTACTCTCTGTATGCCTCCTCACACCTCCCATATTCTACAGCCACTTGATGTGGGCTGTTTTGCCCTATTAAAACAAGCATATAAGACAGAAATTAATGTCTTAGCAAATAGCTATGTCACTTACATTAATAAGAAAGTATTCTTAGCTGCCTTTAATTAGGTGTTTAATAAGGCGTTTTTATCTAATAATATCTAATTAAGCTTCTAAGCAACAGGCTTAGTTCTAGACAACCTAGAGGTAGTGCTATTAAAGCTTGAAGTGAAGCCTTATACGCTAACACTACCTTTACTAGGGCCTACTACCTAGCAACCTAGAACACTAAGCAACGCTGCTGAAATATTAGCTTAATTAACGCTAATATCTAACTAGATTAGGCGGCACCACAGTTTATCTCTAGCTTTAATTATTAAGATGGTGCAGCAGTTTAAAAAGGGAGCTAATATAATGGTGCATTCCTAGGTGCTTATAGCAGCTAAGATAGTTAAGCTTTAAGCAGCAAATAAAGCTGCTTCTAAGCGTAAAGCACGTAAAAGGAAGCAGATCTAGTATAGAGGAACCCTATCACAGCAAGAGGCAGAGGAAATAATAGCTGCACGAGAGGTGGTGGTGCAGGCAGAGGTAGAGAGGCGTGAGGAGAGGGTGCGAACAGGTAGTAGTAGAGAGGGTTCTTAACGCTGTGGGAGGTGTGGTCAGGCTGGGCACAATAAGCGCACATGTAAGCAAGATACTGTAGACAGAGTGGATTAATTTGACGTACTGTGAGCCACAGCACGACGTTGTGGTGTTGAGTTATCTGCGTGTCAAGGTGGGTGGCTGCATAAGGTGGCCGGCTCAATTGCCTGGCCGACTCAATGGCCGATTACGTTAGCGCTGAAACCATTTTACCCATAACGTACCCCACGGGCGAGCGAGCCAACGGGCGAGCGAGCCACTTTTGCCAAGCCCCCACCAAAACCTGACCTATTATGGCCTAAAACACCACACTTTGGCACTCTGTGGCAGACTACGGCATATAATATTACTCAGAGACTACTTCTACATTAATCTTGCACGTTCGCGCGTTGTGGCTAGTCTGATTACACCTTCTACAGCGCCTTTGGGTTGGCTCACCCTCTTGAGCGCGCATCCGCTTCTTTGGCTTCTTCCCATCACCACGCGCCCCAAACTCCTTTAGAGCTGCTAGTCGCTGCCTATCTCCAACTATTAGGGTCCCTTCCTTCTAAACCTGCTTTCTTTTGTGTGATTTTTGTTGCGTGGCAGCCTCATTAGCTGCTTAAAGCTTGCTAATTTCCTGTTAGGCCAAAACTAGCTTATAGGATAAAATTGCTCCCCCCTTTGCGTAGTGCTTAAGCGCGCTTAGAACAGAGTCTAGTAAGCTACCCTACTGCTTCTTATACTTCTCTTAAATTAGAGTTAATTACAACCTAAATTCTAGGGTAACGTGCTTCACAAGCGAGCGGCGCACCCAAGCGAGCGGCGCACTTTCTCCAGCGCAGCGCACGCACCGCGACGTAGTGCAACACCATCACAAATTCCTATAATATACGTAACGTACCTCACGGGCGAGTGGCCGGCCCGGGCGAGTGTCCGGATTTTGCCAAGACCACACCAAACTTCATACAACCCGCGATGTCTCAACGCAAAAAGGCTCAAAGCGTCTCAAAGGAACCAGATATACAGCTTGCAATCTAGGCTCTTAAACAAGACGCGACTCTTACTATTCCACGCGCTGCAACAATCTACAAGGTGTTAGAAAGAACGCTAAGACAACGACGTGCTGGAACGCTCTTAAGACGCGATTGTAAGGTCAACTCAATGAAGCTGACAAGCACTGAAGAGGAGGTGATTGTGCAGCATGTTCTGAAGCTGGACGAGCGAGGATACCCACCCCGGCTTACTGATGTGGAGGATATGGCCAACTCTCTACTCACTGAGCGCCACCAGCCTCCTGTTGGCAAGAACTGGGCTAGCACGTTCGTCAAGCGTCGCCCAGAGCTCATAGTCAAGTTCAATCGAAAGTACGACTACAAGAGAGCCCTCTGCGAGGATCCTGAGGTGATCCAGGGCTGGTTCCGCCTGGTGGAGAATACCAAAGCCAAGTATGGTATCCTAGATGAAGACACCTACAATTTTGACAAGTCTGGGTTCATGATAGGTGTTATATTAACAGGAGCTGTTGTTACAGGCTCAGAGCGTTGTGGAAGACCAAAGACAGTACAGCAGGGCGACTGAGAGTGGACTAGCATTATCCAGGGTATCAACGCGTCAGGATGGAGTATCCCACCCTTTATTATCTTCTAAGGCAAGCACCACCTCTCTGCCTGGTACAAGGAGCTGTCTTTACCTCACAACTGGGTTATCACTGTCTCTAAGAACAGCTGGACTAATAATAAGCTTAGTATTAAGTGGCTAAAGCACTTTAATGAGCACACAAAGGAGCGCACTGTTGGCAGCCATCAGCTGCTCATTCTGGACAGCCATGAGAGCCACAATTCAGTTGAGTTCTACCAGTACTGTGAAGAACACAAGATTGTTACCTTGTGTATACCTCCACACTCATCGCACCTGTTGCAGCCGCTTGACGTGGGTTGTTTTGCCCCAATGAAGAAGGCCTATGGTCGCCAAGCTGAGCTGCTAATGCGCAACAAGATTACTCGCATCACAAAACTTGAGTTTTTACCGTGCTTTAAAGGAGCTTTTGATGCCTCTATTACTAGGAGCAATATCTAGGGAGGATTTAGAGGTGCTGGCTTAGTCCCCTTTAATCT